CAAGTTTCCTAAGGAAATTACAAATTGAGCAGAGTTTTCTATTGGGCGTAGAAACTAAGAAAAGGAAGAAATTCAAGCACTTGACTTCCATGGGTGGGAGGCAAACCAGTAACTACCTTTGTATACTTGTTTTCCTTTCAATTCCCTTGCAAGTTCTTGAAATTCCAGCGACATTGCAGGTGGAAACTGGGACTCATGGCTGGAGTAGGCAGACAACAGGCAGTCTTCTTGAGCAAGGAAATATCCCAAATTAGATCTTTGTTTTCTAGTTAGTAGTTTACTTTTTTCATTTTTGTTGATTTCTTCCAACATCAAATTTCAGGAAAATACCTTGCAAACAGTCTGCCTTGAAGATCTCAGACCAAGTGGCATGGATTAATGTCTGGAAAAGGTGCCGCAGCAGCAGAATATTCACAGTAGCCTTTCCCTTGGGCCAAACCTTGGGAAGAAAGTAAGTATTGCGGGGTCTAGATGGACAGACTGTAAGAAACTGGTATTGAACAGGATCAGCCATCCAATTCCTGGTGCAAAAAATTATTCCCGACTGCAGGATTCCTATGGAAAGCAAGTACTTAATGAAGTTTATTCTTGATAAAGTTTATATGCGATCTTTATATCACTATTTTTTCGTAGTCCAAGTACTTTCTTAGGTTCTCGGCAACATTTAGTCTTGTGAAGTGCCTCAAACTATCTCACCTGGGTTATCGTGAAATGAAAGGGGGTAATAGAGAAGTAAGAAGGCTGGTAACCACCTAGATACCACCACAAGCAAGAGGGCTGGAAAGGTAATTTGCAGATGGAATCCTACTATATACTCTGCATGAGCTTAACCAGACGCCACCTGCTCTCAGACCGTGGGTTGCAAGATCCCCCAAAAGAAGATTGATTTTTGTTCCTTCCTGCTTTTACTGCATGGACATGAGCCTCCCAGTGCCACCTTGTTACAGCCATTCCTTATGGATGCTAGAGAGCTACCCAAGTTTCGTCAGCCAATTATAGCCATTGCAATAAGCACTTAAGGGAGTAATGGGATTTTTATCCACACCACTTCAAAAGGACTTAGGCTTGTGGCTTAGCTAGTAGACCGATTCTAAGCAAATTCAGCTTCAGCCAAAATGAGATCCCCTTTCTTGATAATAATTTCAACTAAAAAATGTAAAAGGTTTCTAAGACTCCGATTGACAACCTTTGTTTGTGCATATATTTGTAGATGAGCCATAGAGCAAAATTAAGACTTGGTTCTCAAAGTATAGATTTGGGAATATGACGTGAAGTAAAGATCGGTAATATAAGATGTATTATAAGTTTATGAAGGACCGAATGCACCGTCTTGGTGAAACTATCTACTAACACCATAATCAAATCTTTACACCTTTGGGTATTTGGAAAACCAATAGCAAAATTCATACTCACAGTCATTCTTGACACTTTAGGCTTTAGAAAGGGCATATACAACTCAATTATTTGGCTTTTTTACTTGGCAGTGTTGTAAATCTAACATCCCTTGATGAGTCGGTCAGTGACTTTCTATATGGATAACCAAGAAAAGCTCTCATGTAACAAATCAGTGGTTCATCTCGCCAAAAATGGCATATAAGGCCTCCTTAATGACATTCAAACAACATGATATACCACAGCAAGTATCGAGCAACGGATGCAATGCGACTTGTTTCCCACAAATTGATATCCATCATGAAGTTGTAAATGCTAAAAGCTACCTTCTTGCCATTGATCTTAATTATTGGGATAGAGTTCTTTGATCATCTCGAACCAAACCAACTTTAAATAGAGAGTACTAAGAAGAGTATGATGTTAGACTGGTCCACTGGACCAATCCAACCGGTGCCGGTCCATACAGGACCGGCTTACAGAAAATAGCAGAAGAATTTTCGCCTCCCCCTCCTGTACATAGGAGCTGACCCCCTAGCTCCACAAGGAGCTGTTTAGGAAGGTTTTTGAAGGGAGTTGGGAGGGCAATTTCAAAGTAGGGGCTGTTTAGGGATTTCCTTTTGGATTTTATGCATTAAATTGTTTTTTTTCCTAGGGTTAGGGCATCTTGAATTTGGCTTAAATTTGAGATCTCATAGTTTGTCTTGGGCTCTAGCGGCGTTTAGAGATTGGGAGAGATCGATTTTCCTCTCGAATTGGGGATCAATTATATCTTGTTTGTTTTTCCTCCGTTAGTTGATTTTTGCAATCAAATTTACTATTTTCCTTGATTTTCATCTCGCTGATTTTCGAAAATTGATAGGAAATACTTTAGATCTACAAGTGTTTCCTATCATATGACCATGGTTTAAAATTGCGCAATATGAGGCTCTCCTTGAGGCCCGCCTTTGCGCAATTGCAGTAAAAAACGCCTCGACGCTTATGCCTCAAGTTTTTTTTATGAGGCTTGCGCCTCAACTTGGTTGAAACCCGCCTTGAGGCCCGCCTCGCCTCACTGGCATGAAGCTTACGCCTCACGCTATATATATTAAAACTTACATAAATCTTGTAGTAAATGCCCGATATTGGACTCTATAGGAGAGGAGTAAGGGGAGAGAGCAGTTCATCATAATGATGATTCAAATGAAGAACCCTTAGTAATGATAGCGCTGATGACTTATGAGCTCTTATGTGAATGTCATTGCTATTTATTTTTGGAAATTTGAATTATATGTTAATGAAAAGAATACTGGGATTTGCGAAAGATAGAATTTTGAGTTGAACTATATTTCATGTTGTCTTATTATTGGGATATTTTGATTTCACTTAATATCTTATGTTTTTTTATGTTTTATATTATTCACTCATTAGTATATAAAAATTCATCATTTTATGTTTACGCAATCTTTTGATTTTGAGGCTTACGCCTTGAGGCTTACGCCTCGCCTCACGAATGAAAAACGCCTCAATACCCGAATACGCAATTTTAAACATTGCATATGACAATGGCTATTGGCATCGCGACTCAATTTTGGACACCCTATTTGTGCTTCAAGATATATTGGAATGATAAATTGATTTTGGCCCACTTGATATGCTTATCCTTAAGTTTGCATTGGTTGTGTAAGTAAATGAGGTCTTTATTATCCAACAACAAGATAAACTCATTAGCTATAAGAGGGAGTGGTTTTAAAGGGGTATCAAAATGGGTTAATAGGTCAGGTTCGCATCTGACTTGAAATTGACCTGACCCGAATCTAGTCAATCTGAACCCGACCCGTTTAATAAACGGGTCAAAAACTCAACCCGAATCGGGCCTACTAGCAACCCGAATGACCCGAAACCGACCTGTTAACCTGTTTGGCTAAAAAAAATTATAATTTAATAAATATAAAGTTTAGAATATTTAATAAAAAATAAAAAGATTTTACTCACAAGTAAAAAACTTTAAGAAAAAATATATTAAATTGGTAATTTTCGGGTTAAAAATTGGTTAGCGGAACAACTCAAACCCGACTCGTTTATTAAACAGGTCAACTCAAACCCGGAGTTTTCGGATCGGGTTCGAGTCGAGTTGGCGGGTAGGGTAATATATTGACACCCCTAATGGTTCTAATGCACCAAGGCACAAAACATGGCATAAAACTCCTTGTCATAAATTTTGTATTTTTAGTATGCCTCATTAAACATTTTACGAAAGAAAGCGATTAATATATTGCATATAATAGTAATATAATAGGTTGTTTATAATGGTCATTAAAGTCAAAAGTTGCTTATAATAGTGATACAATTTGATTACACCTTTGGCTTAAGCTCTTATGGGAAAATCAATTTACTATGTATCTTAAATTACACAATTTTTTTAATATTTTAAATATCTTGAGAACTAGCCAAATAAACCTTCAAGAAAATTCAAGTGCCATTTTGATCAATACATTGCTTATTTGTTGTCAATCAATTTCTAATTAAATTTATTTTAAGATTAAACATATAATTATCTTATACAAGCAAAAGTAGCTTTTGATTTTGTTTCCATTAAATCAAAAATAATTTTGCATGCAAAATGATATATTATATTATATGCATATTTCACATATTTATCAAATTGCAGAAAAACAAAATTTCACCATATTTAATTTTTTAATGGTCATACAATGGAAGCTTTTGGAAAGGCAGATATGCGGGGAATTTTAATGGTTTTCTAATACCTTTTAAGGGGACATAAAGCCTATATATACCTCAAAATTATGTAGAGAACAAGCAAATGTTTTTGAAGAAAAGAAATCCAAAATTCCTAAATTTCCCCCAAACTCTTTTTTGGTAAAAGTTCTCCAATCATTTCTGAAAGGCTGAAATACTTAAAGCTTAAGAACTCAAAGCCATGACATTTGCAGGACATAGTGGAGTTGTATAAGCAATCCAAGTTGATTATAAGATTGAGTTTAGTTTTGTTTCAAGTTGATTTTGTTAGAATAATTTAGCACAATATTTGGAATTTCCTTTTATATTCATTTGCTAAGCCTTCAAAAAAGCATGAGCTTGCCCGAAAGGAAAGTTAATGGGGTGTACCATTAGCATGAGGAGCAAAGAAGTGGATCGTATAGTTGCAAGCACGGGGTAGTGGAATCTTATTCCAAGGAAAGGGCTAGGCACAAATGTGGTTTAAGAGTTGGGTAAACCACATAAATATCATAGTCTGTTATCTACTTGCAAAATTTATTTGCATTGCATATTTCTTTTATTATGTTGTATTTTTATTTACTTAAAAATTTTTAAAAGAACAAATTTATGCCACCCCCATCCCCTTATTGACGTGTCATACCTCTTCAATAAATAGAGAAAGTTATTAGCATAATAGCATAATAACAGAAATATATTAACATATTAAGACAATAGCAGGACTAACATAAAACAACTAGCTACCAAACAGTCACTAATTCTCAAATTCCTACAAGAGACCATATGGTTATTAGATTGAAATTGTATAGAACTATATTGATAGAAGCATACAAAAGAAGCATCAAACAAGAAGATATTCATTGTATAGGATGAGTGGTTTCAAAAATTTATACCTTGCATCGAGATAAAAAGTCCACAGCATTATTCTCAAGCTCTATATCAAGTGATTCCCTCAATAAAGCCATAGAATGAATAATCCAGTAACACAACCAAGGCCGACTGCAGCTCATGCAACCAAAAAAGACAGCCATCAAGAAGAACTAATATAAGATTTTAAAAACCAATATCTTACTTGGCATCTAAGACACGGTATGTTGGCCCCAGTTGATTAAGTCCTCTTGTCAAGAATTCAATATGTTTGTCACGCCAAAGCTCAAGCCTACACAAAAGAAACCCTCAAATTTTGATAAAAAGTTTAAAGAATTACTCTTCCAGTCAATTTTTGTTAAAGGATATAATAATATATTTTTTTCCGAGATAATCAACTTCAAATAAGCTAATGTATATTGATAATTATATATTTTGTAAAACATTCAATTGAATAAGATATCACGGCTATTCCACTTTAATCGACATTTAAGAATTATTTCACTCAAGATCCTATCTATCTCATTACCTAAGCATTTTATAAAATGTTTATGAGCAGTTCATCAATGATCTAATAATAACAAATCATCTTTGATGTCATCTAATGATTTACTAAGTATTTTTTAGCTTAATTAATAAAGGAGTAACCATCAAGATGAAGATCCCTCAGCAAAGCTAGCTTGATAATCTTTTAGCCTGGAATAAGCTTCAAATTAGATAATTCATCCTTTTAAAGACTACAACTGGAAATTCAAGTTCATGGGCATAGTTTAAGTTGTTTGGTAACAAATATAATTAATTGCAGAGGAGTTAAATATAAGTTAATTATTATATATATCTAAACGAACTATTTTTCAGACATATCATTTGTTTAGGATTGAATATCTTATTTATTAACTAAAACTTTATATGATAAAAAAACAATTACTGTACAAACTTTCCAATAAACCAGCCCCTGTGAAGCAAAGCCCTACATGGGGTCCTGGTTGGGTACCCAATCCATGCTTTACTTGGACAGGCTTCGCCCACCCATGGTGACTTCCGGAATTCCGTACCCACCTATAGCCACCCATTTTCCATGCTTTTTGAACGCAGTCTGCCACGAACTGATGGCCTTGAAGCTTGTTGTCCTTTGCTTTGATTGCCAACTTTCAAGTTGCATATCAGAATTTATCGTAGTCATAGCGTGTTTAAGGATTGCAGTAATATATGATATACGGTGATTAGCAATGTAAATCGATTTATCCTCCAATGTTGAGTACCCACCCATACCAACCCACAAGGCTATGGGCGTACCCATACCCACCCATAGCCATTGGGTATGGGTGGGTACATGGTATGGGTACCCAATGCAGGGCTCTGCTGTGAAGGCCCCGAAGGTCTACCAGCTCTCCATAGGAGCCCTAGTCAAGCATCCAAAGGGCCCCATGGTGCTTGCAAATTCTCAAAAAGGTATGACAAAAAACTGGGTTTGCAGGGTAACCATGAAAATGAAGTAGCATAATTAATTTTTGGCATATTTAATACTTTGGAATGACTACTAATTATGTTCCATTTTCAAAGAAATTAATGACTTAGAATGGCCATATTCCATGTTGAAAATACACTTATTTCATGCTGCATGATGTTTTACTCTCAGTAACATACTCAATGTTCGCATGTATTATCATCATAACTGTATGCCAACTATATGTGATTGATAGATAAAAATATCCTCCAATTGTATGCCTGCCAATTTTGATTAATTGATATAAATACTTCAGCATGATTAGTGTTTATATTGGGAATTCAATTATTCTCATGATATTAGTATTTGACTTTTTGGTATCATAAAGGGTTCATATAGAATAACATTTTCCCTAGTTTGCTTTCCATAAAGCTTTAGATTAGTTCAAGAAACCAAGTGATGCACATGAAGTAATCTAACTTCCGTTTATGTTGGGAATTCAATTAATCTAACTTGGTTATGTATTATGACCCTTCTCTACCTTGTTTAAGAAAAGCAATCATATTTACACTTATAAGCAACCTAATTAGAAGCGTGATAGAAAATCAACAGTGTTATGAATTTATTGTCATAAATCCTTGATTTTAGCTTTTTTTATGTAAGTATAATTGATTGTATTATCTCGGGTCTATTGTTCAATGTGATGGTGAAATAGATGGGGATATTATTGGTAGAATTCAAGTTAGATGGTTGAAGTGGAGAAATGCATCAAGCTTGTTGTGTGACAAAAAAGCACCCCTCAAACTTAAGAAAAAAATTATATAAGATGGCGGTGAGACCTGCAATGCTTTGTGGAGAAGAATGTTGGCCATTAAAAGAGAAGCATAAAATTAAGTTAAGTGTTGCATGGATAGAGATGCTTAGATGGATGAGTGACTTCACTCTTAGAAACAGGATGTGAAATAAGTATATATATAAAAAGATTAGAGTAGCTCCAGTGACAGATAAGATTAGAGAGAGTCATTTTAGATGGTTTGGCAACATAAACGTCGGTCTTCCGATGACCAAATCAAGAGAGTATATATATTAAATTTGGACTATGTTAAGAAAATTAGAGGTAGACCTAAAAAAACTGAGTTATAAAATATATGGAAATGGCCTTTCTTTATTAGATTTTAAAAAAAAAAATTCTTAATAGGATACAATGGAAAAAAAAAGAATTCATCTAGCCAACCTCATGTAATTAGATAATGGTTTGATGGTATTGTTATTGTTGTATAATTGGTTGTATTATGCATTCATGTCATGGCTAGTCTTGCTTGCTATAATTTGACATGTACTTTGATTAGGCTTCTCGATTGCATGAGAAGAATTTAATGTAATTATTTAATTCCCATTTATGTATTGACGTTTGTATTAAAAAAAAAACTAAAACTAGCATCTTTTCTATGTAAACATTTAAAAAAATGTTATTAGTGGTATCAATATTAGTATATTCTACCAATTAGATTATTCCTTATTTGATGTATGATTATAAAATTTTTTAGTATTATCAACTACAAGAGTTCATGGTAAACCCTTCTGACAATGACAAAAAGGAAGAATTAAAATGATAGTAAATAGCATCTATGATGTTGGTAGATGTCTGCTCCTAGGAAGGTTATCATATTTATTCTATTCATCTAATGAGGGAGAGTTAGATTTACTTTGTTCATTTTTTTAACACCTTTGTACCAACATCAATTACTCGTCGTCATATAGAAGAACATTGGTAAAGTATTGTATCATATTTTTGTAATTGATCGACTCGCCACCTATTGTTGATAACAAATTTTAATTAGTATCATATAATGATTTGTTAAATATTTGATATATTAAATAATAAAGGAGACATTATGAAGAAGATGAACCTTAGCCAAACTGGCTTGCAACCTGGAAAGTAGTTGAAAATGAAGAATTTAGCATGATTCAAAATTGTAACAGTTAAAATCCAACTGTTCAATGCAAATAAGATCCAACAGCAATAGTGCATGATCTCTGGGATGCATGACTCACGACAAAACTCTTTCCATGTTCGGGAAGCTGATTTAGAAAGGATTCTATTAGAGTTATTTTGTAATTATTTGTTTATGTATTAAGATTTCTTGTATAGATCTATAAATAAAGAAGAAATCATGTAATAAAGCAAGCCTTTTCTTCTCAAACCTCTTGTTTTTAACATGGTATCAGAGCCAATGGGCTTCATTGCCATTGAAGAACGATTGTAAATCGTCGGAGTAGAAAAAGAAGAAGAAGACGAAGAGATCGAAGGACACCCGCATCACGACGTATAGGACGTGCGGAAGAAGGGTGCTTGCTTGCGACTTGAGGGGCAGAATCTTGCAGAAGAAGGCCCCATGCCATAGTTGCTGCCTACTCTCCTACGCGAAACCCTCGGAGAAAACAAAGAGGAAGCGTGGAATAGAGGTGTCAATTAGGGTCAACGGGTCGGGTTTAGGTCGAACCAGAGTTGACCCGAATTTAAACAGATCAACCCGAACCCGACCCGTTTTTGCAAACGGGTCAAATATTTCAACCCAAACCAGATCCGCGCGAGTTGCCGGTTGACATGACTCGACCTAAATTTAGGAGATTTGGCTACAGAAGCGTGAGCTGAGCTCCCGTCCTACTTCAAGTTCCTATACAAAGCCGGCAACGAAGTAGCGACAGCGACGGCGCAGCGGGCGAAGTCCGCGAGTGTAAGCGAAGGCTATCAGCGAGTGTGGGTGGAGTCCGCGACTGCAAGTACGGGCAACGGGAGGAGTCTGTGGAAGCAACGGCGAAAGGCGGTTTGGGAATCGCGAGTGCAGACAGGGAACGGAGTCTGTAAATGCAGGCGAACATCAGAAATGGACACCGACTTTCGGGTCATTGTTTAGTTGATTTCGAGTTTTCGGGTCAACCTGAACCCGACCCATTTCTTGAAATAGGGCAAAAATCCGAACCCAACCCCGACTCATTTGCTATCTAGGTCAATCCGAACACGAATTTTTTGAGATCGGGTATAATCGGGTTTCGAGTCATATCAAAAATTGACACCGCTAGCACGGAAGTCGCAACGGGAGCTTGCTACGAAGGGTCAATGGGATCGTGTGGTCCAGTTTATTAAACCGAAAAGAAAAAGGATTATATATATATATTGGCCTTTATTGCTAAAGAGAAAGTTGGATTGTACTACCTAGAAGAACTGAATAAATCTAGAAAAAGTTACTCCATGTTATCCCTAGTTGATAGGAAACCTACTATCTGGCTTCATCATTATTGATTAGAACATCCGTCTTTTGATATGCTAAAACATGTGTATTCAAAATTTTTTCAAAAATTAAAAAATGAACTTTTTCACTGTAAACTTAGTGAGTTAGCCAAGCATAAAATAACTTATTTTCCAAATAAAAATGATAGATCTGATACTTTTTTCTATCTTATTCATAGTGATATATGAGGACCCTAAAAAATCCCTATGATGTAGACGGGTAGGAGGCTCTACTAGAGAGAAGGTCTCTTGAGATGAAGGAAGAGAAAGGAGTTTCTCTTGAGTTGGTGAAAAGATGAGAGCCAACATTCAAAGAAAATCTGAAATAAATTTCAGATTTCTGATGTCTGAGAAACTAATTGAGAGAGGCAACCCAAGCGGAGGACTTTGGAGAAATTCAGCCAGCAGTAAGTTCAAATCCCAAATCTTCACAACGAGAAACAATGAAATCTGAAATTCACTTGATGATGCTCCTGAAAATAGTTGGCAAGGGAGACGTTCTCTTGTGCAATCCTGTAGAGAAAAGAGCCCAACTCAAAACCTGAAATAAGTT